ACCTCATAGCCAAACCCGCTCAAACACCGCTCCAGCCTCCATTCGGCCGCCCACATACCACTTTCTGATTCCTTCGTTTTGCGCACATCTCCATCGTCACCATGAAGTTCATCATGCTCATCTGCGTCTCGGCCGCTGCCTTCCTCGCTGTTGCTCGCGCTGCCCCCTTCTTTGATCTTTCCCAGCTTGATTCGCACGGCTCCAGCTGTGCCTGGCCTGGCCACTGCGAGGGTGCCTCGTGCAACAACTACAACGACTGCTCTGGTGAGCTGATTTGCTCCAAGAGCAAGTGTGCCAAGAAGGATGACTACTGCTCCTGGAAGGGCCACTGCGAGGGTGCTTCTTGCAGCAGCGAGCACGACTGCTCCGACGATCTCGTCTGCACCAAGGACAAGTGCGCCAAGCCTTCCTGGAAGTCCTCTGCTGCCGTCGAGGGCTCGACCTCTGACGATAGCTGCGAGAGCGGCTTCTGTAAGTATCACCGAAGGTTGGCCGAGCCACATCCCTTTCTGGCTTGTATATTCGGCTGCTTCTCTGACCCAGCTTGCTCACCGATATCTTCATCCGACCTGTCTCAGCCGTCTCCACCTATACCGAGTGTACCTACCTCCGTGCTGAGCTCAAGAAGCTGTTCTGCCAGGATGGTGGCTCCGATCATGCCGTCGCCTGCATGAACGCCGTCGACCACTCCGCCCACCAGTGTGTCAAGGCCGTCGACGACCACAAGACCTTCTGCTTTCCCCGGCACTACTAGGCACTCTGGCACGAGACTGGACTGAGCTTTCCCGACTCTGTTTGGTTGCGGCCGGCTTCTTCGCCCTCCCCCATTTTTGTACATTAGTCTCGTTGCACTCAGCCGCAGCGGCCTGTCCACAGCAAGTGGCAAGTTGCTGCTGGCGGCGTCCCTGGCTCGTTGGACTAGTCCACCATCAGCCAAGAGCCATGAGGGTTCTGAAACGCATGGCACTCCATGCGCTTGAAGACTTTGGGGAGGGTGGTAGGACATGGCGCGGACAGGCATCGCCCTTGGAGGAGACTCTGTTGTTATATCTACACTTTGAATGACTCAGTCAGCAGGGAGTGAGTCGCTGGTAGGTGTGTGGTTAACTGTCGATTTCTGGCTCTCGAGATTCTCGAAAATCCAGATTGTTAATGCGATTATACACTCAAACTCCGAAAAACCTCACCATCTGTGATCAGAACTGGATATCTCCTTTCATATCGAGAAACTTCATGGCGCTTACATCAACGCTGGTTACATTGGCCGAGGACCAGGGCGATCGTTCTTGGTGATAGACTATGTATGAGCTGAAAGTCCCGGTCAGGAATGTCCTTTTTTTTGTTTACGATAGATGTATATTCAAGATTATTCAACCGGCCATGAGCACCATGCGGTACCTAGCAGTGGGCGTTCAAGCAAGCTCACACCCCTGTTGCGGCTCTTACCGACTCTCCAGCCCACACGGCGGACCATGCGGGTACACACTTCCTCCAAGAGGTCCCACAGGGACTCGCATGTCTCCAGGTCCCGCTCGGGGATCCTTTCTCTCTGGCCATGGGAGATCCTCTCAGGGATCTCCTCAAAGCCCATTGTTCGATGGGCTCGCTGTCGTGGCCTAGTGCCTCTCAGCGTCCCAGTCACTCCATCTGCCTGGCATTCTGTTTGGTGCGAAGAGAGGGTTGTCTCTCCTGCTGGTCGTGGGAAGTTGTGTGTCCACCACTCTGTGTAGGTAATCCGCAGTTGAGGTGCAGTGCTCCGTGTGATGTTGAGAGGGCTGTGCGGAACAGCAAGTTCAGGCAGAAGGTTTGTGTCCGGTGGTGCCGCTTCTGTTCGTTCTTTGGGATGGCGTCGAGGGCGAGGCCGTATTCCATCATCGGCCGCAGGAACGTGCGGTAGGCAATCGTCAGTGTCTTGGCGTGAGGTTCCCAAGAGTCAGGCCCATCTTGGCCATGTTGGATGCTGCTTCTCTTGTCCTGGTCACCATTCGGTCCTGGTAGATCGTCGATGAAGGCGCTGAACATGAGTGGGCTCAGCACCGATCCCTGGATCAGTCCTTTCCGGAGCCATGCTGGCTTGGATCTTCGGCCCTTGCTGACCATTTGGATGGATACCCGGTCAAACATGGCTTTGAGGAAGCCGAGGGCGATGCCGTTCATTCTTCGCTGCTTGAGCTTGGTCCACAGTCGCTCGCGCCATACTGTGTCATAGGCGGCTTTGATGTCGAGGAACACCAGGGAGTACTTCTCACCGTTCATCTTGTGGTGCTTGATCAAGGTGTCCAGGGCGACGATCTGGTCAAGGGCTCCTCGTCTGGCTCGAAATCCGCCTTGGGCGACGTCCATGTCTCCTGCCTGTTCTGCCAGGAAGGGGAGCATGATCCTTTCCACGATCTTCCTGCAGGTCTGGGTGAGACCGATCGGGCGATACATGGCCGGGTCCAGGGTCGATCCCTTCTGCTTGTACACTGGGTGGATCAGCACGCTGTTCCATTCGCTTGGCACCACACTGGCCTTGAGCGCCGCCATGATGATCAGGCGGAGCCACTCGGCTATCACTGGTGCGACTGGTATGAGCATTTCGCTCTTGATCTTGTCGGACCCCGCTGCCTTGCGACATGGTGCCTTCTCGATGGTCTCTTGGATGTGCTCCAGCGATACTTCTGGGAGCCGGTTGTCGGGCGGCAGGAGGGTCGCCTCCGTGCTCAGGGGTGGTGGGGTTATACTTCTGTTGTACTCTGTCCCGCTGTCCTGCGAGGCAGAGGATACCTTGCCAAAGTGCACCACGAGTTTCTCGAGAGTTGGATCCGAGTTGTCAAAGAGATGTGATCCTTCCCTCTCCTTCCTCGTGCGCATCGCTCCGATGGTCTTGGTCATCTCGGAGCACTTCTGGGTGTCCATGGTGGCCATGGATTCCTTCCATGACCGTATGCCGTTCTTGCGCTTGAGCTGGGTGATGGCCTTTCTCGTGGACCGAAGCTGACGACGCAGGTCGTCCAACTCTTCCGTGTCGTACTCGGGGGTTTGGGCGAGCATTCTGCTCAGGCATCGCCGTTCTCGTTCCAGGCGTCGGATTTCGGGCCCCTGTGTGCCCTCGATCCGACCAGGGCTGATGCTGGATGGCCCCTTGGTAGGTTTCTGTTGTTCTGCGCTTTGGCGACCATCGCTGGCAGTGGGCCAGTGGGCGGGATGTGGCTTCATTCTCCGGTGTGCTCTCTCCCTGATGATCCTGAGAATATCGAGATCAAGTAAGGGCATGCCACTTTTCATATCGCGGAGCTTGTCGCCATCGAACGACAAACAACCCTTGAGCACGGCCTCGATGATATTGAGCAGCATTGACTTGCCGTTCTGGGTGTCAACCACAAGGAACTGTGATCATTTCCCTGTTGCGTTCGGCAGGTCAGTGCCGCATGGTTGTATCGGGACCTCGAGCGTCGTCGTGAACATGTCCTCTGCCGTGGCCATGCGCCGTGTGTCATCCAGGAGATGAATGAGAATGCCATCACTGAACACGACGCTGTCCGTCGATGTGTCCAGGGTGCCCACAAAGGCCTTGTATCCTTGGCGAAGACGGTCTTGAACGACGAGTGGTGGTTGGCGAGTCCGCTGCCGTCCTTGGTGATCACATCACAGTGGATCTTGTCGATCTGGGCAGCAGTGATTGCTGTGTGGGATCGCATCGATTTGGGCCTGGTAGTAGTGCTTGGCGGCGTTGAGTGCCTTGGGGAATGCCAGGTTTTCGTCTCGAAGGAGACGGTCAAGGATGTTCGAGAGTGGTAGCTCCTTCAACATCGGGAACTCGAACTGGTAGCCCATGGTGGCATCGGCTTTGTCGGTAAACTGGTCAAGGTCACGGGCACTGGCATTGAGGTGGGCATCAATGCAGAAGAGGTCGTTCGTGAGGACGCTCGTATCCTGGCAGAAGATGTGGATCGAGAGGGAGTGGTACTTGTCACTCTTGGACCCAAAGAGTCCTCTCTCAGTCGCCAGGCTGCACTGCAGTGGACTGGTTTCATCCTCGCATGGTCTTACCACATACGCTGGCATGGCCCGGCATCCCTGGGTCGGATCGAGGGTGGACCAGAAAGCTGCAGTGTGGCCATTTTCTTTCCTTTGGCGGCGGAAGAGGCGAACCTCTGCCCGTTTGGATCCAGGTCCATTCGTCGCCTATTCCATCCTTTGGTCAGGTCCATCGATGCTGATCAGGGCACAGCTGCCTGGTGTCGGATCGAGGGAGGATGGTCTTGGTGCCGGGGAAGGCTGGTGGCTTGCTGCCTGCTTTCTCCGGTACCATGTGGCGAGGGATGGTCTGGGTCGTGCTAACTCTTTCCACTATCTTTGGTTGCAGAACGAGTATCGATTGTGAATGTCGAGTTGTCGTTGTCGGGTCATCGGATGTTTCTCTCGGTCGATCAACATCAGCGATTGTTATGGGACAGCATTATTTGCATATTGGATGTATTGAATGTACTGAATGTCAAATACAACATCACTCGGCCATTGACGCTTCATCGGAACCACTCTGCAAGTCCACTCTTTGGCATCGTGGTGGTTGGGATGGATGGTGGGCGGGGCGGTTTGCTTGATTTTCTGCATGTTCGGTGTTGTGATATAGCTATTGGATTTGGCATTTCGGAGGCCCTTGGGGATCAGGACCTTCCAACCTTCCGAGTTCTTTGAGTCTGTAGATGGCATCTTGGAAACCCTGGTCGGCGGACTTGCGCCACCAGAAAACGGTGGTGTCAATGTTCTTGGGGACACCTTCACCATATCTGTAGCAGTCGCCGAGATAATGTTGTCCGTATCGATTGCCCTGTTCGGCCGACTTGAGGAACCACTCGACTGCCTTGTGTTTGTCCTCGGTAACTCCACGTCCACAGAGATAGCAATTACCAACCCACCACTGGCCGTACGAGTTGCCTTGGTCAGCCGACCTGCTGAACCACTCGAATGCCTTCTTGTGGTCCTTCGATACTCCCCCGCCAAAGGAGTAGCAAATTCCGATCCACAACTGACTGTCGCTGTGTCCATCGTTGGCGAGTTGCTCAAAGATGCCAGCTGCCTTCTTCTTGTCCTCGGTGGTTCCGAATCCAAGGGACAGACACACAGCCATGAGATATCTGCAAAGCCAGTCACGGTCCGATCCGAGCTGGCATAACTCAAAGAACTTGCGGAAAGCGGGTGAGTCGGACTTGGTGTCGTTCCAATACGCTGCCAGACACTCGCCTTCCCCAAGCTTGAACTTATCCGATTGGTTATCTCGGATGATCTTGACACCTTTCTGCTCGTCGCGCACGGTACCCCGACCGAGGTAGTGCATCCACCCGACCATGTGCGTGGCAATGGGCTTGATGACTGGGTCGGTGGATTGGGTGCTGACTTCATGCCAGTAGTTGAAGGCAGTTTCATCGCTCTGTTCGACACCATGGCCGATGAACGAGAACCATCCTCGGAGGAACACGATGTGGAGTCGACCGTCTTCGTTGGCCTGATCTGCGGCCTTGGAATACCACTCAATGGCCGTGTCGTAGCTTTGTTCGACACCTTCGCCGATCTCGTAGCATCGGCCAAGAGCTACCTGAGCCCGAGGAATTCCACGATCTGCAGGACCACGGTATAGCTCCGCGGCCTTAGTGTGATCTTTGTCGACTTCAATTCCGTTGAGATAAAACCCAGCGAGGTCGTACTGGGCCCTTGAATGGCCACCTTTGGCTGCATTCTCCAGAAAGCGGAAGATTTGCTGGAGGACGCTTTGCCTCTTGGATCGTTCCATGTAGGGTTGCCCTTCAACCTCGATTTGAAGGATCCTTGCCAGGAAATATGATGCGGCAGCATTGCCATGCTCTGCCTGAGCAACGAGCCAGGATCGATCAGCTGTCTCTTGATCATCACAGTGCAGCGAGATGGCAATCTGGTCGCTCGGTGTGAGGCCGATCTTTATCTGTCCGTCTGGATGACACAGTCCTGCATTCTGGCACCAACGGTGGAAGCGAGGCACCTTGGAGCTCAGGAGGGGTCGGGCTCGTTTGCATACTCTGAGCAGGATCTTGATGGTGCTGTGATCAATCGCAAGCTGGAAGCTGTCGTTGCAGCAGACGATGGTGAAGATGTCTGGGTTGGGTTCGAGTGAGAGTTGGGTGATATCGGGAATCGACGAGGTTGTTCTGGCTTCAGCTTGGCTTTGGTGGGTGGCAGATGATGCCGTGTTTGAAGCAGGCTCGTTCATGCTTGCCATGTTGAACGGGGAGACAGCGGGAAAGGAGAGAAGCGGGTGGGTGTTGGCGAAATGTGGGAGACGGCGAGGGAAGAGGGTGAAAGCGGGCGACGAGCGAATAAAAAGCAGGCAGGACCCGAGCCACGCCACCCGGTATCATTGGCGGTGACACGGTTTCAGATGCGCGACACACGAGCGCAGCAGGTGCCAAATCGAGATGGGATTGGGTGGGCTTGTGCAAGGCTTGCCTGGCGGGTAAACGGGTAAACTCGGCGATGGTAGTACAGGTGGATTCTGCTGGTTCTGAGCGAGTCATTGTTACTGTGAGGTCGTGATTTCTTGTATCACCATTGTATCGCCTATATTCCGCGCGACCGAGGAGCAGGGATCTCGCATCCCGATTGGCTCGGGTGTGCTGCGCAAGGTCACCCTTCTCCCATTTGGTTCGAATCGAATCGAATCCAACCAGATCCGTGGTCACGTGGACGATTCCTGTGATGTCGCGACCCAGCGCAAAAATCACGCAGTCGTGTGGGCCATATGGTGCGAGAAGGTGAAGCTTTGAAGTAGCGTTTGCAGGCGCTCAGAAGTGGCCAAATTTTAGTTCGCCCATATGAGTAAAAATTGTCACTATGAGTCATATATTCGAACCGGCTCGAGCCATAGGTGTCAATAGCAGTTCTGTGCTCCCCACCCCCGTGCTTCTGTCAGTATCCCGGTCACTTTCTGCATCACAATTCGGTTCGCATTCAGAGTCTGTGTCATCTGCACCGTCCCTGCTCAGTGCGGCATCGACAGTATGATAGGTTTTCCGGTGGGAGGTGTACCTTTTCCTTACATATGCCTGGATCTCAGTCAATGCAATGCCTCGTCTGTAAGCACGCATGTACCTCCATGTTGTCCTTGCATGCCTTCGGACTCGTCTGATATCTTCTACTTTCCGCAGGGCTATTGGAAGTAACCTCACGAGATTTTGGAAACTGTTGAAGCACATATCTTTGGTGTATCGCTTGGCGTCGCACCAAAATCGTTCGATGAAGTTCAGCTCGCAGTGGAACTTGGGGAGAAAGATAACCTTGTGGCCTCGACTGTGAATGGTCTCGTCAATCCATGGCTCTTGTTTCTGGAAGTCTGGCTGGACCTTCATCAGGTGCCTGGCACAACAAGGGGTGCGTGTTGGGCCATCAGAGTTCTCGGTTTCTTCGGAGGTTCTCTTGCACGTCAGTGTCAGACCATCTTCCCAGAGCCCTCGTTCCTCTAGCCCGATGTAAAGTCCTTTGGGCTGCCCTGCCCATTGTCGCTCGAGGGAGTCCTGAAGAGGATCGTTGGTTAGATCATATTGGCTCCGTTTTTGTCAATTCATTTATCGAATCAATCATATTACCTCGTGCATTTCACCGTCCATTTGTTCCGGAAAGCACATCGCCTGAGGAATGTTATCTGGCCCGAAGGATGTAGGCCGGAACTTCTTTCCTGTTCCTGGCCAGAGTGACTCAGCTCTGAGAGCGTCGTCAGCGAAGGCCCGGTGGTTGGATGAGTTGTCAAACTGAAACAGTGCAAAACAATTGGGATGCATCCGTTCAAATATAGGGATGGCTTCCTCGAGTTATTCAGTTAAATTTCGGCATGTCCACCAGTTTTGACGCCCAGGCCTGATGATCTTGGTCGAGTCGTCGTTGTCGTCGATCTTCAATAGACCATGACATTCACATAGAAATGCACTGACCATGAGGCTTGATCCCAGGCCTTTTGGTTTCAGTCTGCATTCGCCCTTCCGTTGCCATGAGTAGTTGGTTGATTCATTGGTGTAAAAAGTGCTCTCGTCATATGTGACGAGGACGATGCGAGGCAGGGATTTACATTTCGGGGAAGTTCCTCTTGAAGATCCGTCCCAACGTATCGAGTCATACGTCGTCTATAAATTTTCATCTTCTGGAGGTACGCACGGCGATAATCGACAACATCGCTACGCTCGTGTCCATCTACATATACCCCTTTCTTGTCCCTGGTCTTATTGTAGTCAAGGTGCTTCATCCAACGCAAGGCAGTGCGGTATGATATTTTGCCGTGTTTGAGCCGATATCTTCGAAGGTTCCTCTCCGTTTTGAGCTTTTTCAATATTTTTCTATTGACAAACTTGGCGAACTTCACCGGGCTGCACTGCTTGTTATCACTCAGATATTCCAAGCACATTTCCGCAACTGTTTTATCCGACAACAGGGATGTCTCTCTTGGGTGAAGCAACGTATATGTATCAGGAATATATCCTGTCTTCAAATACTCAGTCGCTGCTTTCCTTATGATCCGACTGAAATATGGCAACGACTTTCCCATAGCAAGTTGACGGGCGACTTCGACACCGATCTTAGCGACCGTGAGTTCCGTGTTTCTTCGTTTCTCTCGAAGGTAGAGGTATATAGCATGGTGCATAACCGTCTTTCTATAGTTGGGTTCTTTCCAAGAGATGTGTTTGCACATCGTGCGCATGTCTCACTTCTGAGGTGCCCGATGGCCGAGTCGATTTCCATCGATATCTGTTGTTCAAAGTCGGTGGATTCCGTGTCGTCTGAGGACACCGACTCCTGATCACCATCAATTTCGAATATCACATTGGAAGGGGCCTCGTCGGACGGCTCGTTTCTTTCGTAATTTCTCATGCCAGTGGAGACTCCAGCCGCCTGATGACCGTCATCCAGGTCAATGACTTGAGCATCCCACATCCGGACTGGATAGCAGCCATCCAAGCCCACGATGTAATCGGAGGGGAATTTGGGTGGTGGATGGTCAGCGTCAATATCGAAGACTTGCAAATTGCTGTCCTCGATTGTTCTTTCAAAGGAAGTTTGGGCTGCCGCTTTACATTGGGAACCGAAGTATTCGGGAATCGTTTTGGAGGAACCGTGCTGCAAGGCCCGGGAACGCGACTCGGCATTGGCTCGTCGCTGATTTCTTTCTGAATTTCCAACATAAGGCCGTCGTCGATCTTTGACAGGAGGTTCGGGAAAGGAGGACGGGAAACGGATCGGCCACGCGAGCAACGGATGCTCTGACTGACGAGGAGCCGGGCGTGGTTGAGGTTCAGTGCCGTTGATGAGAACAGAACAATCATGATCGATATCGACTGCGGGAGCCCAGCTCGTAGCTGAAGTATCCATGGTTTCATCGGCATCCAGATCGTAAACTATGATTTTTCTGTCTGGTTGAGCATTCTCTGGTCTCGCCAAGGAGGCGCCAGATGCATTCTTGTCCTGGAGAGGCGGGAGTTCGCGAGCTGGTTGCGTGCTGACGTCGAGGAGAGATTGTGTTAATGTGACTAGATCTCCTCAACTCGGCCCGAAAAACTGCATTTCGGAGGGCAGTTTCTCTAGCCTTCTGAAATCGCTTTTTATTCCTGGATGTTCGTCCCATGATGAGGATGCGTTGGTGATGGGCGATCGACGAGAGACACCGGCTATATAGGAGGCGAGGAGGTCTGAGTTGGAGGGAGGTGAGCAAGGAGGGACGCGCGTTAACGCGCTTGGATTGTGTGACCGAAAGCGTGTATTGTGCGCGGCACCGGCCAGTTTTTGAGTCATCATTATTAAAATGACCTCATTTTGAACGCCAATATCTCACCAGGATGATGTGTTATGAGGGAATGCTTCGTGCCGAACGAGAGCATGATCGATTCTGAGTCGTTTAACAAGGTCATCGCCGTTCGAAAGAAAATGCGGCTGCGCATATTATTCCAGGACCAATAGGCGTCGGAAATACAAGATTCACCTGCACGCACCATACGAGCAGCTGATGGCCGATACCGCCGCGCAAATCGAGACCCTCCATACAGAGCAGCAAACCCGCGACGAAGCCAGTGCCAACGAACTGCAAAAGTTGAATGAAGCGCACTCGGGCTGTGCGCTGACCCACAAGGCCATTCAGGACAAGCTGGACACCCTCACCCAAACGCACAATGCCACGCGGCAGCAGGCCGCAGAACTGCGCGACTCCCTCACTACGTGCCAAATGATGATCGGGACATTGGAGATTGAGAACGATTCCTTGGAAGCGCAGATCAAGAAAAATGCCCAGGCCATGGAAGAGTTGGCGGAGCAGCACAAAGCGAGTCAGTCGGAGGCAGAAACCAAGCAGCAGGAGCTTGACGCAGAAAACACCAGGCTTGCACAAGAGCTATCGGAGCTGAACCAAAGGTTGGGTGATGCGCAGAGCGAGCTCTAGGACAGCCAAACCCGGGCGAAAGAGTACGAGGGCGAGATCGCACGATTCAAGGAGCAAATCGCGAGTCTCCAGGACGATGTGGAGAGTGCCGGCGCTGCGTCAGAGGAAGCCGCAGCTGCTACAGCTGAGATGATGGCAGAGGTGGATGAACTGGTAGGAAAGCTTAACGAATGCACTCAGCAAGCAACGAGGTACACCACACAGATCGAGACACTCGAGGAGCAGTCAAAGGCGTGCCAAGAGCAACTCGACGGCAAAAGCCAGGAGAAGGAGAGACTCCAGAACGACATGGACACGGCGGTGCAAGAACATGAAGCGAAACATGCAGTTCTCTTGGATGAGCA